TTTGACTGTTATTGTTTTTCAATATTTTCTTCTTCCAGGCCGGATCAAACTTAAATATTTGAAGTAAAGTATAACACTCATCATATTTCGTTAAAAGATCTATTCAAGAAATAGAACCCATTCGTCAGATACCTGAAACTTCACATAAGCGTTCAAAATATAAATTAAATGACTTTGAACGAAAAATATAATAAAAAAAAAATAGATAAACTACCTGAGTAGCTGTACCCACTTGGGATGGTATACGAGATTTGTTTGAAAAAATAAGGTGCATTATCGTGATGCAAAAGACATGAATTGTTTTTTACCAATACCGGACTTTTTCTTCGTATTGCTTCTCGCAAATGGCGCTTTGTTTTAAGAAAATACCTCTTATTGACCGTACGACCTGATGCACTACACCACGGTAATCAAAGAAAACAAATTATCAACATTTGATCGAGCTTGGCTTGCTTTTCTTTGTCTTGGCTCTCCTGGGATCTTTTATTGGGACGATTGGACTTTGCTTTCGGTGTCATACCATATACCCATGATTCGTCAGCAGGTATGACCCTTTTGAGCAAATCCAGATCGCCCTTGACGTCATTCAACAATTCTTGAACGATGCTCATGCAACGGTTTTTTTTTGCAAAATTAAGTAAACTTGGAACGGACTTCGCTGCCACAAGCTTCATGCCCAAAATTTCCAATAAAATTTCATGGCATAAGCCAACAATATGCAGACATCCTCAGCAACATTCCTAACAGTGATTCGATGATTCTCCGTTACAATTTTCTTCACTTTCTCGACATTTTCATCGGTTGTTGTAAAAAACATTCCATAAACATATGTCTGGTATTGCTTCTTTTATGAGATACAGGAGTAGAGGGGATAAGAGACTTTTGGGGCGTATTCCCTAGGGGACGTACTTACGGTAGTGAGTGGGAAAGAGACGTGTGCGACGTGATCGACGCATAGAAGGATGGAATGAGCATCGAGTAGATTCATTTGATAGATAAGAGCGCGGTGGAATTACAAAAATAACATGTTTGTCATACAGGGTGTCTCATCGTTTAAGAAAAACATGTACAGGGTGTTTCAAATACGTCAGCGCGTTGGAGTTTGAAAAAAACGGTTAGTAAAACGTTAGTGAAAGTATTCATGATGGAATCACAGCTAATTGATCACCCTGACTTCCACTGTAATGACAACAATATCACTGTTTGTTGGAGGTTACAGCCAACCTGATTCCTTCATGACCGTTGATATGTGGTCGTATTTTCGAATGCCAAAAGAAAAACAAAGGCAACTGTTTTGGATTCGTTGAAAACGGAGGGAATCAGATTGAAGTAATGCAGGGCCGTAAATGCTATCGCAATATGAAACTTTCGAAATGATTAGCTCCTCACATAATTTAGTTTGAGTTGTTTGGTGAGTAAGTCCCGATTTGGAAACAGTTGCCTTAAGATGTTGAAAGACGTTTGAATCAAATGACTTACGTGTTTTGTGAAGCGCAGTTCAGAATCGAGCCACAGGCCTAGATTCTTTGCTTCAGTTACGAAAGGCAGAACGTCACCATTTATATGCATATGAAGACTATTTTTAGCAATATCTCGCAATCTTTTCGATCCAAAGATCCTTACTGCTGACTTTTTGGAGTTTAACTTCAATTTATGAGCTGATGAAATATCAAAGATGGTCTGCAGATCACGATTAATGAGGTTTTGAGCGGAACCAATGCCAGGGAACTGAAAGGAGGAGTACAGTTGAGTATCGTCTGCATAATGATGAATTTTGCATTTTTCTACCGACTGATGGAAGTCACTAATATACAGGCTGAATAGTAAAGGACCAAGAATTGATTCTTGAGGAACACCTTTAGTTACGGGCATAGTCTCTGAGCTGATACTGTCCACCATAACTCTTTGAGTTCGGTTCGATAAGTAATTTCTAACCAGAGACAGCGCATTCACAGAAAAACCGAAGAAGCTGAGTTTATCGCGCAGAATGTCATAGTCAAGAGTGTCGAAGGCTTTACTGTAGTCCAGAAGTATTAAACAAGTTAATTTACTTTCATCGACCGCTTTGAAGAGGTCGTCGGTGATGGAAAGTGGTTGTGCTGTGTTGAGGTCTGAAACCGGACTGCACGGGTGTGATGATTTGGCGATCATTTATGAAGCTGCAAATTTGGTCCTTCATGATCATCTCAACAACTTTTGAAAGACAAGGTAGGATGGTGATAGGTCTCAAATCAGTGAAATCCGAAGGAGAGTTGCACTTAGCTAAAGGAATAATGACACCGTTCTTCCAACAACTTGGGAAAACACCCTTAGTTATAATGACATTAGCGAGAAAAGTTAACGGATCCAATAGATGACTATTTGAGCGATGGATCATTAGGAGTGAGATATTGTCTGAGCCAACTGCATTACTTTTGAGGCATTTCTGTACTGTACCGCAAACGAGACCGCACTGAAATGAAAAGGAAATAAATGAGGTAGAACGGTATCGTTCTAATAATGAAATGTTCAAGACCATTTTCGAAATTTCCCCTGGCTAGATGTTTGTTTCAGCTCTAATGATTCATCAACTTGTGCTCTCGAAGTCACGGAAGTTATTCTATCATCAATATATGTATACTTATGTTCCTTTTTCAATGAAACTCCTAACGGCAAACCTTGTTTCAATAAAGATTGGAATGGTTCAACTGCCATAGAAAAAGCAAATCTACTAGCTGAACAATTTGCGCCCACAGTCGATTTCCTGGGAAAGGGTAAGGTACCACTCACTGTTCCCACACTAGATTCCACAATGCCGGAAATTAGTTTTCGATAACGTCTAGTCTGGCGAATTTTGAAACAGCTTAATATCAACAAGGAGTCTGCCCTGCTGAAGTGCCCGTCATCGTACTTAAAAAGGGCGCAAATGAACTCGCACCAGTATTTTGCAGACGTATCAATCTGTCATACAAGAAAGGGGTTTTTTATTCTTGTTGGAAGATTGCTCGCGTTCAGCCTATTCCCAAAAAGGGCAAGAAAAATTTTTCAAATAACTATAGACCAGTCGCTTTGCTATCAGTGTAAAAAGTAGATTGAGATACTTAGATGGAAGAATGGAACACTACGACACAAGCATTCATTGCTTAGGTATATTCTATGTTTCCTTTGTGTTTTCCAAACTTTTCAATCAGTCTTACAAGAAAGGGGTTTTTCCTTTTTGTTGGAATATTGCTCGCGATCAACTAATTCCCAAAAAGGGCAAGAAAAATTTTTCAAATAACTATAGACCAGTCGCTTTGCTATCAGTGATATCAAATATCATGGAGAAATCCGTGAACCACCATATCTTTAAATATTTGGAAGCCTTCAACATCTTGAGCGATCATGAATATAGCTTTTGGAAAAAAAGTTCAACAGGCGACCTTCTGTCATATGTCACCCATATTTGGAATACCTACCGCAATCAAGAAACATGGAGAGTCAAGAGCTGTTGCATTTGATATTTCTATTTCTAAGGCCTTTTACCGTGTGTGGTATGAGGGTTTGCTGGCCAAGCTTCGATGCTGTCGGATCACTTTTGTGTATGGCTCTTCAGCTTCCTGAAAGAACGTTCCTTACAAGTGGCCGTCGATGGATATCTCTCGAATACTTTTACCATCAACGCTGGTGTTTTCCAGGGATCCGGCTCGTGCCGAGATTCAAAAAATATCCTTGGACCAATTTCTCATGTAAAATATTTCAGTATTCAGAGTTGTTGAATAAATTTCAGGTGATTCTGCCTGGTAAAAACACCAGGTGCGAACAAAACACACCTAAGGTTCGGCAGAACTGATGGTGACATCTAGATTTAATAATTCGAACGTCGAATTGATGGAAAATATTTGAAAAAAACATTCTACCACTGATAGCGCTACTAAAACGATAAGCAGCAGATCGGAATAACGGAATTTGAAATTTGGGTTATGTTTAATGAGGTTTTCTGTGTTTCGATTTGTTTGATTGTGAGAAAATGATACATTTTTAATTTTTATTGTCAATTGTGATATGACAAGGTGAAATAAATCATTTTTGCTCACGGAAGCAAAAGAAATCACAATGATTTGTGGAAACAGTTGTCTTTTTGTTTTATTTTTTGACTTAATTCTAATATTTTCGATAGACGTCGTATCTGGACAATGCACTTCCCTATTAATGTGCCCAAGTTACGATTGCCAAGAAGCTCGGAGAATTTCAACATAGCTAACTAAAATAGGCCAAAGATCAAAGTAGTCAATGCCGAAATAACGATAGATTACAGGTGACACATTTTGCTGGTAGATAATTAAAATTCACTGCATTTTATCCTTTTCATGAGCACATCAGCACCACCTTTTGCAAAAAAATTCTCTTTACTGAGCATCCACATTTGTATTTTACTGCAGAAGCAACAAGAATACCACAGTTCATGAGGAACATCCTCAATCTCTACAAGTGATCACCTACTACAATCACATAGCTTATACTTATATTCTAAATTCTAGGACATAAATTTAAGAATGTGATAAATAAGAGTAAATTCCTATGAATGATTCCAAAACACAATAACACTAAAACAACCAAAGGGTGCCAACGGTGTAATTAGTGGTACCACCATAACCACTGATATGATAAAAAAGCCCCCAAATAAGGATGGAATTTTGAATTTAGATATTTTAAAGTTATCTATAGATATCTATTTAACGGCGAGTCAACCAATTGATTCGATGTATTTTTCTATGGATCTGTTTTTTACGTTATCTCGTTTCCATTATTTGAAGCAATTAGTCGGAAATAACTTGATGCATTTTAAAACTTTTCCATGCCTTCTAAAGACACCGACACTGAATTTTTATCACATTATAATTTCATCTTGGAAAACATCTCCTTCCCTGTTCTCATCGAAGACATTCATGACCGTCAATATTCTTTTTTGACAAATCTAAAATTGCTTCTTGTCATTTTAATTTATTTGATGTGTCATTATCATTTCGTTTTTCGCGCCATTATTCAAAGAATATTCAGGGCATTACGATTAATCGATCAAACAGACAAACCTGCAGGAAGGACTCGACTAATTCGTCTAACTTCATTCAGTTGTCCCGGTCTAGTTGTGTAAAGAACTTTTAATACAAATTACTTCGCTTGAAAATAAAACCTGTATCAGAATGACTGAACAACCGTACGTATTTCCAAAATTTGTAAAGATGTATTCCATCGTTTTTTTAAGTATATTTGAAGTGTGAAATAGTTTTATACATTTGTTGTTCAACGGCCATGTTGCTCAGAAGATGCTTATAATCGATTCTAGAAATTTCCAAGTTTTATTTCTTTTGTTGTAGTGGCGTTTCACGAATATTTGATGATTTTAATGTTGAATATGTTGATTTTTGATACGAAATCTGTTCAAATATATTTTTTAATAGTTTTAACCTCACTTTTTCAGCCTCCCACCACCGGTGATGTGGGCCCAAAGATCTTCTATAGTCTTTTTAACGATAAATTTAGAAGATTGTAAAGATCCTGAAGTTAAGTAAGTATGAATTGTGATATATAGTACTTGACGTAACTTGATGAATCATGAAGTTATATTATTTAGAACTTAGTTGGCTTCCTGCTCAATTCTCAAGTTTTAAGTCTTGAGTATTCTTGATTGCCAACCTTTGTTACGCCTAAAAAATTCTTATGATCTACTACTTGAAACTTGCGACTGATGTCCTATGAGAGATATGTTAATCAACATTCAATTTATTGATTTATAGAATCTACCGACTTGTATCTTTCAATTGTGATTCCTAAACAAATTGTAAATGAGAAAGCCAAATTTTGAAAACCATCATGTTCATGGAGACTTCAGTTGTACTAAGAACTATGACGAGAACTAGAAAGTTGACATCCTTCAACTGTTTTTTTTATGAAAATAAGCTCGAAAATATACTTCCAATGTGAAATATCGTGTAGCTCCTACCTGCTAATTCCAAATATTAGTATATCGTTATTCGTATAGGACCTAAAATTTTCAACTGTTTACCAAATAAATTGAAGTCAATATGCAGCCTTCGGTTGTTAAAAAAAAAATTGAAATCATTTCTGTTAGAAAGATGTTTTATACTCTTGAAGAGTTTTTAAATACAAAAATGTGATTTGTAGAAACTGAACTATCCATGGGCATGCCTTGAATTTGTTTAATAAGAATTCTACTGCTTGAGTAAATTGTGAAGAAGTTAATTGGCAACACTTGAATATGTCATCCCAATGTTTTTCATATTATTTACAGAAGTAATGAAAGAAATCTTATTGAAAAGAGTTTTTGCGTCAAGACTGATAATGTAACCTGAAGATAATTGAAATTCATATTAATGAAAATCCAAAATAGAAATGAATATTTAACAAAGAAGTTGTTATTGTTGTTTGGTATGCATAAAATATTGGTGACAAATTGTGCAACCCTCCTATTGGGCATTTTGCAATAATTAGCTTTTATTGAGAATTCTATTGAGAATAAATTGTAGTTACCAATTATTTTTTACAGATTCAGCAAAGACTCAGTATATTTCAAAGGTACTGGAGGTGTAGAGAAGAAAGATTATGAAGTGACCATTCCCTTGTATAAAGAAATAGATCCTGAAAAAAGCAAACACTTCAATAGAGGAAGGTAATTTCAAAGATTGTGTAAAAAATTCAAGTTTATACTTTACCACAATTGTGTATACTCAAGGAAAGACTCTTATAGTTTTGCTGCAGATAAAATTGCAGTCAGCTGAATGTTTTACTGAACCTTTATTATCGTGGAGAACTATCCCCTGAAAAGTCCTTTCCTGAAATGTTACCAGCAGATAGACTTGTTTGGTCTATGTTTCAAAGTAGTTGACGATGTTTCATGGTGAATTTTACTAGTTCGGACTTCCATTGTCCAATATGATTTTAATATGATTCGAAACTGATGAAAGAACAAATAAAAATTAGAATAAATAGCTGAAATATCAATTATGTGGTGAAATATCACCTGTAGTGTTACATGAAACATAATACTAGTTGAGTAAAAAATCATAAGTGCACCAGCAGACTATTCACTGAAAATCATCAAATTTTACAGTAGCAATACAGTTGTAAGAAATTATTTATGAATGTCCAGGATGAACAGTGTGACTTATCATTGAGACTAGTTATGTTTTGTCCATTAATGTTTGAACACTCCTATTCTTATGGTTGTAGAGAAACCTAGTTTAGCAAAATATTTCTGTTAGTAGTGCTGTTCCCAACTTGTTTAATTTTAATATGGTGGTACAATTTACTTGCTGGAATCATTTAAGAATGGTTGTAGGTTTTTCTTTAGTTATTTTACAAACTATATAGACCTATTTTTTATTATTGATACATAAAATTGTAGTTTTGTTTTGTAAATAGGTGTATTGAAATACTACTAGCCAAAGCAAATCAAGAAGAACCTTACTGGCCTTCCCTGACATCAGATAAAAGCAAACATCATTGGTTGAAATGTGATTTCAATAAATGGCAAGATGAAGATGAATCGGGTGATGAGGGTGTAGGAGGAATGGGGGGAGGAGGAGGTGGTGATTTTGAGGAGATGATGAGACAAATGGGTGGTTTAGGTTAGTAAATTGTGATATCAAGTTAATAATTTGTGGTAATACGTCACTGTGGAGATGAAAAAGGTCTAACTCTACATTCAATCAGTTAGTAATAATTTTTTATGTGTTTGGGATGGTTATATAGAGAAAACCCAAAGTTAAGCCATCCCTTTCCATTTATTTTTGCTTCTAACTTATTTTTCTGCGTTTGAAGACTTACAGATTTGACGATGAAAGAATACACATGCGTCATCGATTTGTGTGTCTGATGTAAGTCAAAAAAGTGATGAAAATAAAACGATGTGGCTACACTGCTCTGAACACAACCTATACTTTCCATGAATGCTTTTTTTTAAATTCACTTAAAAGTAACCTCATGTACTGATTTTCAGGCAATTTCATAAAATACAACATTTATTTATTTATTTAAATTGACAAGTCAAGAATGTACTTTTCAAGGCAAGGAATGTTTTGTTTTTTTAATTAAAAAGTATCAATTATGATTAAAATAAATTCAATTTATTCATGTCACTTTCACGTTTTTCAATTAACTTATACAATATGCTGTACAGGTTTATGAAAAGGTTATATATGTCTATACCCAAAGATAATTCATAGTTTTACTATTAATTGATGAAATAAACGATTTGATAAGCATAGCAGATGAAGATTTATATAAAACAATTTTCCGTGAAAAAATGAACATCTTGAAAATATCTGAAATATAATCCAAAACAAAAAGTTTGTTCACAATACTGCACAAGTTGAAAATTGATGGTTTTTGTAATTGTTTCAGGTGGTGCTGGTGGCAAACCAAACTTTGATGACCTTGACGGGGATGAAGGTGATTCGGATGATGAACCCATTCCAGATTTGGAATAGTTTCGTAGAGTTCTTACATCGGTTTTTGTATTTTTCTGAACACTACTGTTAAGTTATTAATAAAAATGAGAGTTTTTTTAGTGGTGATATTCACTTTTGTTCTACATAATGATTTCATATCAATTATCCATACTTTTCTTTAAAGTATATATCTAGTATTTAATGGTTAATATCGTGTACATGTTGCGAATTTTTAATTAAATGTGACGAAATCAGCTTTTCGTAAATTTTTTTAGACACCATTTTCATGGACTAGGCTTTGCTGAAACTGAATAAAAATTGCTATTGTGGAAAGACCAGAATAAGAGAAAAAAAAGTCCAATAATCAATATTTTTTTAGTACAATTCCATAATAGTAGGCAGTAAATTCTCAGAAATATTGCATTCAAACGAAAACATTGTTGTCAAGGTTATGATATATTTTATAATAATTTTTTCCTCATCTCTTTAGTAAAAAAAATTTCATTTCTGAGAATTTAGTGCGTACTATTATAGAATTATAGTATAGTGTATACTACAAAGTCTGCACCAGCTGTTGCTTAATGACTTTAGATTTTTGGTAAGGTCACAGAAGATGAGATTGAAAATTGATACAAGTGTTCACGAGACTAATAACGAACTTTGCTTACAATATACAGTATTGATATATCCTCTGCAAGATAGCAACAGTTCTAAAACTTGCGAAGATAATTTTCATCTGTAATAAATAAAAACTCTTTTTGTTGCACTTTTCAGTATAAAAGAAATATCAGTTGGTTTTTCGTTAATCAGCTGTCGCCCCCATACGAACGACAACTCTCAGAAGTTGAGAAACTTGTGCGAGCTAAGGACTAACGAGGTCTTACCTTTTAACGTGTGATTCTTAACACGGTTGCAAAATTATTCCAGCTTCAACCAGATGAATTCTCTCGAGAAAAATACCTGGTCGAGGCGGGAATCGAACCCACGATCTTCCGATCGTGAGTCGGGCGCTCTACCACCGCGGCCAATTCCAAGTAGACTTAATAATTTTTTCTGATGTTAGTTCTTTAAGTTTATATTAATAATTGGAAATTTTATTCAGAGACAAAATGTATTTTGAACATAATATAACTCCAAAACAAGCACTTCACAAACACCAAAACTGCAACACTACTCGACGCGGGTTTGACCAACCGAGTTGGCGTCTTCAGGAGGTGTAGGGATTTATTCTATTATGGAAATACTAGTTCTATGTTTAATTGAAAATCATAGACAAGCTGAAAAAAATTGTTATACAATATTTTATCCCTAAAATTAATATATCAATGGAATCAAGAATCAGTTGATAGTTTAAGAACCATCAATCTGGGAATAGCCGAGCATATCAAAAGGTTCGAGGATGGAACACTGGTTTAAATGGAAAATTAAAGAAACTGCATGCACATTGAATGACACATTCAGCTAGGCTAGTTTGGAGATCCGCAACATATGGAAAGCTATTGACAATCAGGAACATGGGGTATAGTGCACGAACCAGAAAAGCAGAGAGAAGGAAGGAGACAATACTTAATTCTAAATACTCTCTAAGTATCAGGAATAGGCCAGTTATCACATGATTCTGGATACCAACAATCAAAATGTGAACTAACTTGGTTTGAAACATTTTTTGTTCTCGTTCATCGTTCCTTGATTCTCTTTTCATTTATTCACCTTCATTTTTCTTTATTTTTATTGCTTTAAGAAAGAAATATTTTTTTTCATTCAGTTTGTTGTTTTGAAAATTTCCTGGAATTGAAATAAATATCCATAGGAACGCTACACAACATGAATGAAAGTATATTGATATTTCACTTACATAGAACACTATCATCTTCAATACTGTTTGTGAACAAGACAATCGTTTTATCACCTCATCAGCACCGTTTTGGGAAATAAGATAAGGCACTCATTTGTTTAAAAAATCTGTTCAAAATCTGTTTTTTCATTAACCACCTGTCGTACCCCTACGAACGACAACCCTCAGAAGTCGAAACTTGTGCGAACTAAGGATTAACGAGGTCTTACGTTTTAACGTGATTCCTAACACAAGTTGGACGATAGCAAGTGAAAATCGATCGTTCAGCATGGGGCTTGAACCACCGATCAACACGGCGGTCAATTCAAGTGAGTGAACAAAGCACCCACGTCGAACCGACCGATCATGACATTACAATTTTGTCACTAGAAGAGACAACTTTGCTCTTGTCATGAATGATTTGACACATTTATATATGTTTATTTATTTAATCCCAGCAAAACGAATTTCATTCAAGTTGAAAGGGGAATATTTGAAAGAGATTATTTTTTTGGAGAAAAAGCTTCTTTCTTCGTTACAAAAGTTTCTTAGATTTTTAGTTTGAAGATGAAAGTAGAGAGCCAAAAAGATTTTTTCCCTAAAAACGAATCTCCGGAATATCTTTCATATTCAATTTTAATTTTACTTAATTGTTCAATCCAGTTATTGATTAATTTCCATTTCAGATATTTCATATTTCATTCACAAACTGAATTATTAACTTTCAAATTTCATACTTATTACTAATTCTCATTTTTTCTTATTTTGATTATTTTACTAACTTATCTTATTTCGGTTTTAGAAAACAGAATCAGAAGAGGAAAAGAATTCAATTCCCTAACAGAGATCAAAATGTGTCTGAATCATTGTCTAAAGACAATGTCTGAAGACTATTCTAGGAGACATACATACCTACACAGTAGGTTTTGGTATTAGCCGGGAAAGTAGTACTATCAGATAAAAAATTCTTAGGTACCCCTTTTCTGGTACTAGAAAAACATGCATTAGAACTGTTTACAGGGAATACTATCACAGTAAAATGAGGTTGAGTCTTTGGAAAAGTTGGCAATCAAACTAGTTTTAAATATGATGGTATATTTGAATAATATTTAATAAAGAAATAGTACTTTCTTCATTCAAATATATTTTGAATTGAATAGAAAGTACGGCTTTGAGCTTAAGCTACAACATTGTGATATTGTATAAAATGCATTGGATTCATTATCACTATACTGCTTTATTTTCTTGCTGTTCAAACCTTGGATACTTTTCTTCTATATCACTCCAGCTCTCTTTATTATAAGAGAGATTGTGAATTGTGGATGCAATTTCATCGAGCTAAAAAATAAATGAAACAAATTAATAGTTATTTGAATGACTATGCAACGAAAATTATGTAAATGTGTTGATCAATTACTCCAAGTACAAAAACATTGGAAAAAAACCTTGTCTACTATTGTGAACAAGTTAACCACAATTTCAAATGTCAAAGCTTCAAATCACATTCAAAAATTATAATTGTAAGGTAATTCTTTAAATATCTAAAATAAATTCAAAAACTTGAGGTGACAAATTTCCTTAGATGTGACACATTCGCCTAGAATATATTAATATATATTAGCCTGGAGTCTTTGAAGTCCACTAGATACTCGTTAGGACAACAAGAGGATTGTTCCGAATTCTTGGGGTTCTTGTTGAATACTCTTCGTGAGCAAAACAATAGCAAAATCAATACTCCTGGCCGCTCTGGATTGAATGATTTCGTACTGCCCATCTCGTCTTGTGTTTGTAAATCTTTTGCTGGAAAAATCCTCACTTGTTTACTTTGTGGTAAATGTTCAAGAAGTACTGAAAACTTATGTGAATTTCTGGAACTTCATCTAGCTTTTCCTAATACGACTAATTACCAGTCCGTTCAAAGCTTATTGTTAAATCATCTGAAAATGGAATTTTTAACAGGTGATGATCGACTGTATTGTCAAACATGCGCCAAACTAACTGACTGTTATAAGGAAACAAGTATAGCTGAGGCACCAGTCAATCTAATAATAACACTGATGATTTTCAAACAAGACTCAACCTCTAACGGAAGCAAGAAACTCTTTGGAAAGTTCGAAATAGATGAACATTTCAACCTAGCAGACCACTGTTATAATATTCATGCAATCATTGTTCACTGTGGTTCTGGCGTTGAATGTGATCATTATTACGCCTTGGTCAAAGAAGAAACAGACTGGTTTAAGTTTGACGATAGTCGTGTTACGAAGTGTTCTATTGAAGCATTGAATTTATTGGAGCCTCTGGAGACACCCTACATTTTGTTTTATGAGAGAGAGGACATTGTTAGATCAAGATCTTCAGATGATGTGGGGCTGCAGGTTTTTCCGGGTTTTCCTGCAGCTGAAAAAGCAAATGCGCCACTGGAATCAATGAAGTCGCCCCGGAGCGCCAATTAATTTTTATTGTTGTATTTATTTTATTTTTATCGTTGTTTTAACACATTGTAATAATTTTATAAATAATGTTTTATAGTCAACAAAAAAAAAATATTAGCCTTATTACCGGTATTCTCACTTGTCCCATGGAGTCTCTTTCCCTCAGTGTAACACTGTGTGGTTCTTTCAGTGTATCAAAGTCTATTGTAATACCATAGGGTATAGCAATTTCATCTGTTCTGGCATACCGTCTCCCTATAGATCCAGAACTGTCATCTACTTTATGGGAAACATCAACTTTAGTTAGATCGGCAGCTGAAAATATGAAAAATATAATGTACATTTTTTGTATCAAGATGGAGTAATAGAAAGCCAAAAACTTTATTTCCCAAAATAATATGGTAAATTTGGTTAAACTAGGAGGGATAATATCCATTGAATGAGAGTAATGTCAACCCCTTCGTTAAAAAAAAGAATACATGTATTTATATGTAACAAAGCATTATGCTTTTATGAATTGAAAGGGGTATATTTTCAGGACATATTTTTTTTTGTATGGAGATGAAGAAGTGAAAAGCCAAAACCATTCTTTTCCAGAAAATTATGCTTTTATTTTTAAGTAGTAGAATCACTTTTTTACCGCTTGGGCATCATATAACTTGTGATGCACTGTTTGGAACCTTTGGTGTAGTAATGAATATTACTCGAGTTTTTTCCCAACACCAAACCGTTATTTTACCACCTCGACACGTGTTTCCATCACCAAGTGATTATCTTCAAGAGGTAGATCTTCCTAGAAACATGTGTCGATGTGTTAAAATAACGGTTTGGTGTTGTGAAAAAACTCCAGTAATATTCACCATATGACTTCTTAATTTCTCTCAAGTCTTTAAAAGAAACTGCTGCCTCTTGTACTTATTTTCATCTCTATCATAACCTGCAACATTCTTGTTTCTTATAGCTCTTTGGTGGATGTTTATCATATTTTTTGGGCTTAATTCAAGTTCATTGAAAACACTTTCACAACACCAGTACAAAAATCAAGGTCTCTCGACGTGCGTTTTGCTAACCAAGTTAACTGTCCTGATGAAGTATTCATTCACATGTTCTTCCAAAACTCTGGTCGCTTTCTTCTTGTTGATTTCTAGTTTTCACAACTGTTACACTATCCTAAACGTATATTTAATAGTCACGTGAATCTGCTGAATATAAAAGATGATTTTTGGTAGCAGTCGTTATTGTTGGATTAAATATCTGTACACGATCATAAAAAAGTATTTTTGTGATGGTTATTTATTGTACTTTGATAATGAACGAACTTTATTGCGACATCAGTTGAATGATTGTAATCACATATCGATAAAAACACCGACCACAAATTTGAGGGTTAATAATTTCGGTGATTGTGTACCTGAGAATATTTTGAAATTTGAAAATATCGAGAAACAGTTGAAAGTCCCATTCAATGTATACGCTGATTTCGAATCAATTCCGAAACCAGTGCATACAAATAAGCCAAACTCTTACACATCGAACTTATATTCATAAACCATTTGCTTTCTTATATCTCATAAAGTTATTTTTTGATTATTCAATTTCTAAATTCCTATTATATATAGGGGCGGATGCATCTGAAGTGTTAGTTTCAAACTGATGCCACCATCATATATCACAAATATTCGAAAAATGTTGTTCCAATGAGTCCGAGGAAGAGCATGATTTCAATATTGTCACTACATGTGGTATTGTGAAAAGACATTTGAAGAGGATGATATTAAAGTACTTGACCACTGCCATCAAATGGGAAAAAAGAAATGGAGCTACACATTCCATTTGAAATCTCAATTTCAAATTGCCTAACTTTTCTTAATCTCAGTGGGTATGACTGCCACTTGTTCATAAAAGATTTATGCCCTAACAAAAGTAGAGTTAATGTAGAAAATCTGTTAAAATCTGTTTTTTCGGTAACCAGCATTTCGGTTCGAACCGGCGGTTCACACAGCGGTCTATTGAATGAGTGGAACTGACCACCCACGTCAGCAGCTACTTAGAATGTATTCAGGTATCTGTTCTCTTTCAAATATTCAATAATGAAGTCTTCTTTCTCTTGCCAGTTGTCTTCTTCAAGAATGATTTTATATTCCCCTCAGTTACCTCTTTGGATACTTTACATTAGTACAGCTATATTCTGCTTTTGTCTCTTTTGAATTTTTCTCCAGCATCTTCCAACGTTACTACATTACGTTTGTATGTTTTTTTTTCCTTGCCATTCAGATTTTAAACCACCTCCCTCATATTTTTATTCAGCGATAATCTGTAATGTATCTTCTAATGTATCCAAATGTATAATTTCCTCAAATTTTTGTTTACTTTGAATTTTCATCATTTCATTTGGAAACATTTGCATTCACAATTTTTCTTGGTATCATTCTTAGAAGATTTTTCTTCATGATAGTACTCATGTGTTTCTATCACTGTGTCTTTATTTGTATGTAAGACCTTTTCAAATTCATCATTATTTTTGTTGCCATATCTGTTTAATGATTGATAGAGTAATTTATATTTTTACTATGGACACCAATAGTCAACCACTACAGTATAATGAGGATATAATTTATTTAAATATTCAGAGTTTTATCGCACACAAAACAGATATTATAACTAGCATTGCAGTATTGAATTCATCATTCATCATCATGAGTGAATCAAGAACAACATCAGACATACAAAATTTTGAAATCAGCATAAATAACTATAACATAGTTCGGTGCGATAGCGAAAGTCGACGAACTGGTGGAGTATTAATATATGTTCGAGTAGGAATAGATTATAGAGTTATCAAACCTGAAATTTTGGATGGGAACTTTTGGATACAGTTTATAAGTGTAAAGATGAAGTCACAAAAGTGGCACATCGGTGGTATCTACCATTCTCCAAGCTCAAATCATGGAACATTTTTAGATATATTAGAGAACATTCTGGAGACATACTTTATAGGAAAAAATGTCTGATGATTGGCGACGCAGCATAGCTCTACTCTTATAGATTATATTGTAACAAATATTGATTCTAATCTAGCAATTGTTCATGATAATCCAAAACTAACTGACCACTCTTATCATATCTGTAAATTTCTGTAATGCAAATATCACGTTAGGGGAGCTATTGTCCTTTAACTGGAATTTGAATTCAGTTAACGTTGATGTGATATTGGAGAATATAACAAAAAACTGCCTAGACATTGTTGATCAGGTATCACCAGAACATACTGTTAAAATAAAATCAAATCAAGTCCCATACTATGATAGTGAATTGAAAATCAAAGCAAAGGAAAGAGATTTAGCTTATAAGAAATTCAAAGTACAAACTTAAGTAAACATATAAATTGGGAAAATTATAAGAGAGTGAGAAATGACTATATGAATATGTTAAAAGTAAAGCAAGAGCATTATTATGAAAAGAAAATTGATGAAAATAAACATAATGCGAAAGAAATGTGGAAATATTTGAAATCACTTATAAATCTAATTGAAAGTTATAATTTTGAAAAGATAGTATTCAATGTCGGTGATCAAATAAAAGTTTGTAGCACAGAAATTGATATTGCAAATGCATTCAATGAATATTTTGTCAATAGTATAGGTGAAATTGTGAACAATATAAATTCTGATTCAGACTGGAGTTCAAACAGTTTCGACATAGTAAATTGTAAATTAAATTCTTTTAAACAGATAGACTTGCCGCAGTTGAAAAATATAATATTTTCAATAAATAAAATTAATAGATCTGAGACAATGAACAATCTATTTCTAAAAGAGACATTCAACACCTTGGGGCATGTTATACTGAACTTTATTAATACGTCTCTTCAAACAGGACAATTTCCCCAACACTTCAAAATAAGCACAGTAATACCAATACCAAAAATAAATAATACTTATGAAGCATGTTATTTTTCCTATCAATACTCTTCCAATCCTTGAAAAAGTATTGGAATTAGCAGTATATGAGGAACTCAACAAATACTTTGATGAAAACAGGTTACTTTTAGGTTGTCAGTCAGGCTTCAGAAAAAAACATTTGTGTGAGGCTGCCTTACAGTTCACAATAACAAATTGGAAAGAAAAAATTGATAAAGATAATTACGTTGTTTGTACATTCTTGGATTTAAAGAGGGCATTCGAAACAATAGACAGATATATATTAATCCATAAGCTCAAATATTATGGTATTGGTGATGTAGTTTTGAAGTGGATGAAAAGTTACCTCAGTTCGCGGAGTCAAATGACAAAAATTAATAGGTGCTACTCACAAGAGTTAGTGAATGATTTTGGAGTTCCACAAGGTAGAGTATTAGGACCTTTACTATTTCTGATTTATATAAACAATATCAATTACGTAGATGGTGATCATGTGATTAACTTATTTGCAGATGATACATTAATATATACCTACGATAAAACCTTGCAAGTCGCTATTGAAAAGATAAATAATTCATTGAAAAATATTGAGTTGTACCTTGGAATAAATAAACTGAAACTTAATATCACTAAAACTAAGGCGATGATCATTACAACAAAGTATAAACAAAATAAAATTGAAAGAAACACAATCAAAATTAAAATTAAGGAAAATGATGTAGAAATAGTGAGTAAAATCAAGTATCTAGGGTTCATTGTAGATAATACAATTTCATTGAATGATCATGCTGACTATATAATAAGCAAAATATCAAAGAAATTGTTTTTTTTTTCTAGAGTGGCATGTGTATTATCAATGTATGCCAAAATAGCGTGCTATAATTGCATAATAAAACCTCATTACGATTTTTGCGGGACTCTCTTATACCTCTTGAATCAGAACAAATTAAATCAATTACAAAATCGTGGAATGCGAATAATATTACTCTGCAATAGAATGACACCTATACATAATATGCTCTGTAGTTTAAGGTGGCTTAATGTCTCTCAACGATTGTATTATCAAACTATGATATTTATATTTAAAATAATAAAGAAATTGCAACCAACATACTTAGTAAACCTTTTAATCACAAATAGTGAAGTACATCATCATGATACTAGATCGAACACCAATTTTCACATCCCAAAGACAAATTCACGTAGCAGTATGAACTCGTTATTTTTCAAAGGTCTGGACAGTTTCAATAAACTACCAAATAACATAAAAAACTCTTCTTCTCTCCGTCTATTCAAGAGGGACTTTTGTTGATTTTCAGAGACTGCAGTAGGTTCAACTTCTGACTCTTACCCTCTACATTGAATATGTAGTACATAGTGTGGAAATTGTTGTCGTTCTCATAACTTGAACCTACTGGAGGTAAATCAACAAGAGTAAAGGTTCAGGTTCCCCGATGGACAACCAACAGGAGGTTGAACACTCACCATTCTCAAACCTTTCTTTCATAATGCCAATAATTTAAGTCTTATTAAAAAATTAACCTGGTGTCCAAGAACCAAGAGTGTAATTGTTTTACAAATTCTACATGAGATCTCAAAATTTACCTGGTGTCTAATAACTGAGATTGTGATTGATTTACAAATTCTACCTGTTATCTCATTTACTATTAATTAATTGTAGCCCAGTATCATCATGGATAGTGAGCCAATTACATTTTTGGAATCAGCTCTGCAAGGTAACTCAGTGGACTGAAAAAATAGGATGTTGAATAAATCGATGATGTATTTACGTTTAACCCCTCCTCCTTGATCACAATTGAAAGAAAATGCGAGATTCACTTCTCAAAGAACATAACCTCCAAAACTATTTTCTGGGTTTTTTGGCCGTGCTCTCTAGGTTTTTCTGCCTAACGTTTTGTCTTCGACTGCGGTAGACATTATCAACGGCGATGAGGCAACATATTCCGCTTTGAAGACAACTAAAACACTTTGTCTATGGCCTCATTGCCTTTGATTATGTCTAATGTAGTCCTGGATGAAGTGTCAGGCATAAAAACCTGCCGACCATGCCAGTGAACGTTTACTCTCTTTGAGCAACATACCCTTCAGTTTCCAATTTCTCTTCTAGTATTGCAAGTTCTTCAATTTGGAGATTAGTCAAGGCATCTGTAATACCTTTGGCATCTTTTTTGAAGATTTTTCCTATTATACCTTTATTTGGTGATGCTTCTACAACATCTATTATTTTAGGCTCTGCCAATTTTTTTTCAGCAGCTAACCTCACTCCTGTTGCTTTAAAGTGTTGAGTGAGATCATAAGCAGATCGATCAGCACAGCCGACACATTCCACCCATCCCTGAAATGACACAATTGCTAGCAATGTGATAGGCAACAAACAATTTTATATTTGTAAATGAATTAGGAATGTTCGAAGCTGTTACTCTTGATGTGAAAGTTGTTTTAATAAATTTATAGAATAGATTTTCAATACCTCTATACATATATTTTAAAATTAACTCATTTCTATTGATTGGCTTAGACATAAATAGTAAGATTTTTTATAATTTTATCAATTTCATGGTAATTGTTTTGAACAAAATTGATACTACAGGAATATTTTTCTCATAATACTCACATAACTTGTCAAACACTCAGCATCCCAACAGTCACAGGCATAATGAGCCATTTCATTAGACATGTGCTGTCTAAATCGAAGCCTTGAGGGGTCAACACCACATTTGACCATAAACTTCTGGATTCTGGCCATGAAGTAACCCAAAGTTTCATTTGCAACCAAAGACTACAAATAATAAAAAACACTACCTAATATGAATAAAATTCTTCAGTCAATCAAATTGGGGATATCAAATTTTTTTCATTTCAGTATCCCAATTCGTTCATTTCAATTGAAGCAGACATATTTTTTGTGGTAAAAACACAGAAAAATAACCAAAAAAATAGTTCTCACATTATCAACAGCTTCTCCGATAGTTAATCTTTCAGCTGGTTTGCCATCCATTTGATTGCAGGCTGAATAGAGGAGCAGTTCGGTATCTCTTACGCTATCGAATTTAGGATGTTGTTTTTCGTTTGGATCACAGAAATGTTCTATCTCTGCCATTGTGAACTCTCGAACTCTGATGAGACCAGATCTTGGAGATATTTCATTACGAAATGCATTTCCTGGAAATTTACACATTGGCTTAAAAAAAAAAGACATTTCAATTACTTTATTGCTATCCATGATAATAATTATAGAATTCTCTTACTAAATTTCATTTGAGACGTGTTGTGCTACATGGTAGCTTCATAGGGAAAAGTTAGTGTTGGAGCCTCAGTGTTGTAAGGCACTCATCTACAAAGTGCTGATATAGAGACGGAACATCACCCAAGTGGCAAGAGTTGGGTCGTTATGTGCACCAACAAGTTCAACATACATGTCCACGCTGCCTCCAGACTGCCGCCGTGGGCTGGGGGTGGGCTCACTTACATCTGTGAGTCGTCCCCCTGGGCAATGCTACAGTCTAAAGGGCCCTGCACATTCCATCAGTTATGTTGGTGAAAGCGAGTCTTAGGCGCTATAACCTAATAAAGAGCTAGGGAAGACATCCCTGAAACAAAAACCAGTGTGTATCCTGAAAAGGCTACCCCATACCGTAATCCTATGGTCATGTCTCATAGAAACGGGGTTCTACTGAAATATCCAACAGAGGAGACAGATTGTAGTTGATGAAGGAAAAAAAAACGGTAGCTTCATCAGTTGGACTGGTAAATGTAGCAAAACAAGTCTTGAATACAATTTAGTGTAAAAACTGTATAATTATCATCATTATCATTATTAATTTTTAACGAGTAGAGGGTCAGCGTTCATAATTGCTTCATTGCATTTTTTAGATAAATATATTTTACTTTTACCTATTTGTGCTGCAGCAAAAGGTAGTTTTCCTTGATTGAATTCGAGGAGACGTTTGAAATTCACAAATATACCCTGAGCAGTCTCAGGTCTCAAGAATCTGAAAATAAAGTGAAAAATATTCTTTTGCATGCCATGTACTCCAATAGTTTACTAATTTTGTTTCTAACTAGAGAGCAAAGACTACCCATCTACTATCTTAAATTCATCCATTTATTGTTTTGAATGTCATGCCATTTTTTCAGCTGATTTTCTCAATAAGTGCTACTACTTCTTCAGTTACCACTCATGAAATCTAAGAAATATGAAGCTGAAATGCTGAAAAGATGGTGAAAAATTGTATTCCAAAAAATAATGAAGGGATGCATTATTGAAAAAAATGCAGGTCAAAATCATTATTATTACAATGAATTGCACCCAACCTAGATAAGCGATAGTAACTAACCCTTTGATGAGCCCTGACGGTCCTATTTGGGTTCCAAACATCAAATTGAATTCAATAGGTTCGGTCAAGTCATTGCCAGTAACAGGACTCTTCATACTGAATTTAGTCATTACCTCAGCCATTTCTGTTTTGTTCATGCCATCAAGCTGTAAGGAAATTCATAAATATAACCATTTCAAAGCATGGGAATTTAGCTACTTATGACAGCACACCTTTATTATAATATCAATACATTCATCCCTAGTTTCCTGAGTTGTTTTCTTGTCTGCAGCAATTTTTTCCAAATGTGCCTTTATCAAATGATCCAATCTGAAACACTCTCCAGTTTTAGTATCTTTCACCATGAGATCGGCAAACCTGTCTACATGCCCCGAAGCCCTGAAAAAAATAAAATTTTCAAATGGGTTCTGTTTCATACTAGTAAAACTTTTTTGTGAGATTATTACTACACTGTTCACAAAACCATAACGTGTGTTTCAGTATACCATTGCTTCTTCAGGTGTCTTCATACTAACTAAATTGTACTTAATTAGTGCTTTTTATAAATAACCAATTAGGAATAAACTAATTACAAATTTAAACAATAGCAAACAAATTTCCTCAAGAAATTCATTTAAATGAAAATGTAACAAAAGAAAAGAATTGAAAAAAATTACAAAAAAACTTCAGTGTCAGATAGATAAGTATATAAGTTGACTGGTGGTTCTTGCCCAAAACTTTGTATTGATCAAATGAGAACTTTTCCCAAAGAAAATGAGAAAACCACATTCACATTTGCAAACCAAGTTTTGACAGAGGGGCATGAGTTCAATCACAGTTATGACATGTTACATCTATAAGAAAAAGGTTATTGAACGAACAAATAGAATTGAACAAAACAGTTTTCTAATATTGAAATTGGTAATCACTACATACTACAGCAAAGTCGCTTCCCGCTGTCTGTCCCTATGTATGCTTAGATCTTTAAAACTACGCAATGGATTTTCATGTTTTTTTTTATAGCGTATTTCAAGAGGAAGGTTTATATGTATATAACATTCAAAACATAGTAGAAAAACAATAATAATTTTAGAGGTTTCTAATGTCATGTCGTGAATTAACATTTTTTTGGCGCTTGAATTGCAAACACTGGCTGAACCCGACGAGATAGATCAAAATAATGTACTTCAGAAATTTATACACTTTAAAAAGGTCTACAAAAAAGTCCGCGATGGAATATGTCTATTTCTTAGGGATAACCCACAATAACCATTTATTTAGAACTGGCTGATACTTGATGAAAATCCATATTAAAACTAATTTATACAGTTAATTGTTTGCTAACAACTAATTGCTAATTGCTAATGAAATCAGTTTATACCTAAACTCAGGTAAAATTATTAGTCATGAAGTGGGTAGAAACTCATACCATTGAAATTGGTTATTTATATAAAGCACTAATTAAGTATAACTAGGTATGAACATACCTGAAGAAGTAATTGTAAAGTGAAACACGTGAGATTATCTCACGATGAGGTGTTACTTTAAAAGGTTTTGTTTCTTCAAAGAAAACATTTTATTAGTTTTCACAACTTTTTGGTAAGGAATTATAGTAACATAGTCAATTCAATATACAGTGCCAAAATCGTTTCACACCTGTGTTAACTTTGAGTAAAACAATACTGGTTTTACTAATAAATGAAACAAACAAATATAAATCATTTCTAGGTGGCGGTAGCACTATCTCTTGAGACATAAAAAATAGAGGTAAGGAACGTAGCTATCTGTGGAGTGTTGTACAAGGAATCTGTACAGATCAGTATAGGGTACAAGACTGTTGGAATGGGTTCATGAAAAAATCGAAGAAAAAACGCAATAAGTCCATGAGACTAGAGTGTTTTCTAGATACTTGGAAGGTCAGAGAGCTACCAAAGAAAATATTCAACTCTTCTACAATACTTTGAATTTGCTATTGTGTTTTTTGCTACTGTGTTTAGTAATTTCTGTTAGGTCGATCCAAACTGTTGAAAAAGAAACCACACTTTTGCAGTAGAGTTATGGCTTTGCTATGAGAAAGTATTTCAAAATTCAATGGTTTTTCAATCCCATTTTTTTAAGGTTTGTGAGGAAATGAAGTGGCCTCATATATCAGATCAGATGAAAACATGTTTTATTGCAGATTATGTCACATTAAAATTTCATGTTGAGCAACCACTGGAAACTAAACATACTAATGATAATAATAAAAAAGGAGGGAGTATTCAAAAACTGTATAAAATATGTTTAAATTTAGCTCCACCCAAGAATAAAAACTCAATAGATGATTATGAAAGAAATGTCAAGAACTCATCCACTGAATGAAATGCATTCATGCATAAGAGATTAAACAATTTTGACATTGTGGAATACCCTGCACAGGTGAGTACGTTTAGTCTCACTAAACGATAACAAATGCTTAAATTCAATTTCAAATAATTTGTTGTTAACTATCATTGTAATTTTCAAACTAAAGTTAGTTTTATGATAAATACATTATAGTACCTACTTTCTATTTGCAGGAGAAATAAGTACATGTTACATTTTTGATGACAAAAGTGTTAAACACTTCACTGAAAACTTATTCCTTAATAATTTAGTAGATTTAAGAAGGTTGAAATATGGAATTAACAGTACTTACTTAAGAACTGGTTCTGGAGTCAAAATTGAACAATCTACTTCTAACATCTGTTCTTCTAAAACAAAGAACTGTCTCCATGCTTGGAGTAAATTTGACTTGAAAGCACACCCCATTGGTCCAAAATCAAACTGTCCTGTGATACCCCCATATATTGCGAAACTCTGGTCATAAAAGAATCTTCGTTTGAGAAGGTCCTCCATTTTTGCCCTATCAAAAGTTGAATTCGGAGCCAGACTAAGTTCTGTATCTTCAAGAACTTTTTTTCTGGCTCTAAGTTCCAACACTGCTTTCTTAACATCCAACACAGGCGCTCCATCAGATTTTAGTTGACGGACCAAATCACCCTACAGGAAAACCAGGAGTTAATTAACAGAACTTTTAAAACTATAGTATTACTTGCCTGTTCTTTTACACTAGCTCTGAGTGGAGCCAAAGTTTTCTCAATGTAAGGGTCTACCATTGTATCAAAATATATGTTCAATTTAACGTTTCTATGCTTCTTATTTTTACCCCACTGGTCCAAAAAAGGGGTGATGCAAATGGTCCTTTTGGTTACAACGTTTGAAAGAAACTCCTTATGCAATAGTTTATTTAAAATATCATGAACTTTGACAAACCTCTTCAATGCTACAGTCAGTTTCATATGGTTCAATAATTATTTTGCCACGATGCAAAATTATTAACCCCAAAGTGAAAGGAAAAGTAAAGCACATGAACAGATGCAAAAATCCAATTTAGAACTTTAGTTATTTTTAAACTTATAAAAATCTTCATATATCTGGCTGTCATAATTTAAGTTGGTAATATGTAGTATGAAAACAATTGAGCTACTCGACGGTAGATGGACAGACTAACCATACTTACAATTCTTTAAACATACACCAAGTGTTTTACGATTAGTCTATATACAATGGTTTTACCAATTGGCGTTTTGTTTTGTCAAAAACTCTAAACTCCAGAAATGACTTGTTTGAAAACGGGTTAATAAGTTCACTATTTTTTGTTTTTTTAAAATATGAAAAATCTACAAATGCCACTGCTTGTTTGTTCGAAGAGAATTATTTACGCATAAATGTAAAACATAAATATGTATTGGAACCGTTACATGAATTCTTGTAAACTGGTAACTTTATTAACAGACATTATCGTTCAGGAACAGTCAATAATGTTACAGATCTAGGCCACGTTGTCTTGGTGGAAAATATGTAGTTTTCGACTACGTCTCACAAACTTTACCACATTTCCACATTGACTCGATAATTTCAACAGAAAAGTTGAGTTTTTTACACCACGTGTTTCTTGAATGAATGTACCTTTCATCTGAATGGCCCGATGATTCGTCAAAATTTTCGACACTGAAGTGATTCCAATCCCAATCGGTCACGAATTTTGAGCAAATATATTACAGGACTATTCTTTTCAATATCAAACCTAAATGGTGTAGAATATTTCAATTTGCCCCGTCAAAAAGACGGAACTCCTTTTCATTACATAGTACCACTGCTATAAAAACTTTCCATGTTGGTAGATTGGGAGGAGAGGTTCAACTGAATGACCAACCTGATCCCCCAATTTGACTCCACTGAACTCCTTTCTATGAGGATTATTGAAATCGAAAGTCTACGAGGCGGAACAAACTACTGTAAATAATTTACCAGGTAGGTATGGTGTAGGCCTATATACACCCGATTCTACAGAATGAAAAGGAGGAAACAGAATCTCGTTTGAACCAATGTGAGTTGATGGTGCTGAGTTCAAACATTGGATATAGTAAATTTTTGTATTCAGTTTCACTTTCTAGTTTGAAATGAAATACAAACCTAAAAAAGTGTTTGATCTTTTTCTGACACACTCATAGTCGGTTTCCTATTTAGAAATAGAATTTTTTCCTTGTGATACAATAAAGTCATTATACCTACTGGCCTTTTGTACGTTCCTAGTTTGATTATGGCTGTGCAATCTGGTCCCCTTTCCACAAATGTGATATATCCTTAATAGAATTTGTTAAAATCAAATTTGCCAGACACATGAGCTTCAAAATGGGAACTTATTCACACTTTAATATGATTATGATGATACATAACTTGCTTTGAATTTATTACCTTTAGAATATCGTCACTTTATTCTGGAAACATTGCTTGTGTACCAAATTCTCAAATGGTGATATACTGACTGTCCCAGCCAAACCTGCGGCTCTGTATGGAGTACAGGTGTGGGGGAATAGATTGCATGATAGCAGTGTGAGGAGACAGTTGAGTGCAGCACAGAGGTTCTTCCTGTTGGCCTCGTATATGGGGCTACAAGACGACGCCACCGGCTGCACTCAAAGTCATCACCGGAATAGCACCATTGCAGATAGAAGGAATGGCTAAGTATCAAAAATGGAGGGAGAACAGGACTAGGAAGACTGAGGATAGAGTAAAAGGAGTAGATAGGATATTCCCCTGGTTGCAAGGGGATTTGCTGGAGGGGAGGGAGGACGAAGGAGTGATTGAAGTATATGTAGATGCCGGCGGGAGGGCTGAGGACGAAAGAATGGGGATAGGCTGGGCATATGAAAGAGGAGAGGATGAATGTATCCAGTGGCGTAGCTATATAGGTAACCTAGGGCCCTGTGGCAAATAAAAAAATTGGGCCCCACTGCTATCAAAACTGGTAAGGTTTTATGAAGTAAAATCATTAAATATACAAATACTTTAAAAATGCTAAGCTACTTTATCATCAGCTCTTTTTCATGCATTGCAGGGCAGGTAATAAAAATATTGAACACTAACAACATAAATTACAATTATTTTAATACTTGGAGTAGATATTGGACAATAAAACGAAATAAAGAAGATTCAAGGGTTTATTATTATTATATAAGATCGGACCTATCAACTGACTAAATAGCTATTATAATTACAATCTTTTCCTAGCTTTAGTTTTCGCAAAAGTATCAATTACTTCGGTTAAAACCAGACTTGATACGGTTTTGTTCTCAATTGCTATTAGCGATAAATGTCGGAGTCGAGTTTGGCCCATACTAATTCTTAAATAATTTTTTAGTATTTTTAATTTGCTGTATGACGTTTCAGCTGCTGCAGAAGTGACAGGAATTGTAAAGAATAATAACATTGCTGTAAATACTTCCGTTAGATCACATTCTAACACTCCATATTTACTTATTATTTCCTTACATAATTGGTGAACAGTCCATGCTTGAGTTAATTGAGGTACAAGTAGGTGGTAAATATTAACAAATTGAAGTGAAAAACTAGGGCCTATTATATCTGAATATTTTCTTTGGAATTCGTCACACTTTTGTAATAAAGTTGCTTCATCAACATGTAATAAAATGTTGGTGTTAGAAAATCGAATGATTGACAGACTGCACTCATACCAGTAAATCGTGTATTTAATTGAGCTATTAATGTATCAAGTAACTGAGTTGCCATGATTAAACTCGTGTTGCCACCTGTCATATTTATTTTGAAAATAGGAGTAAATTTGAAAATGGGATAAAATTTCAAATGTTGGGTTCGATTGAGATTTTCTGGTAAGATCGAGGTCCCTCTGAGCTTGAGGGCCCCGGGGCACTGTCCCGCCTAGCCCTTTAGTAGCTACGCTACTGAGGGTCACCGGACAAAGCAGCGTGAACGAGGCAGAGGCAGAGTAGAAAGAGTGAAAGTAGGAAGAGTGGGGAGTAAAACGGTAGCGATGATTTTACGGATGATTGAGGAAAATAATGATAGGGGAGTAAGTACGTACCCTGATCACGTGGAACAGGGGGCACGATCGTAACAATATAGCGAATACGAAGGCTCATGAGGAAGCCACCAAGGGCATGAATAAAACAGATATTACATGGGAAGTAAGAAAGGCACATAGCAAAACGGATGAGAGATAAATAACAAAAGAGAATATTAGGAGAGAATGGCAAAGGGAATGGGAGAGAGGTACGACTGGTCGGCTGTTCTACAGGTTCTGCAGAGCAGTCGGATATGAATCATTGGATCTGTCGCGGAAGGCTGTCCAACTGCTCACTGGGTATGGGAACTTCCCGGGATACGTAGCAAGATTTAACCTGGATCCGGAAGTTCCATGGGGATCCTGAAACGGTGAATATGGGGATTCTGAAACGGCAGGGCACGTGATTGATAGATGCATCAATGGGGACAGGATGGGTTGGCAAGAGTGGAAGGAGAGGACGGAAAAGATGAATGGTGGAATTATGATGAGTGTAAATAGGAAACAGGATGAATGGATACGTTTTGTGAATGACTGGGTGGACAATGAGGTGAGGGAAGAAAGGGAAGGATAGGTGTAGATCTGCACACAAATAAGCGTAGTGAACACGTTAAATATGAGGAGGAGTTATGGACTCTCAAATCATGTCGGGAAGCGTTACTGCTTGATTGTAAATACATCCAAGGATGTTCAATCATTATCATGTACAGCTGGGATACATGGGTTGGGTCAAATAAAAGTTTAATTTTTTGTTACATTTTTTTGTTATTATGTCTGATTATTTTTGAAGAAGCAAGAATTGTTTCAAGTTATAATTGATGTACTATGGAGTAAGGAATGATTTGTAATTTTTTGGTATATGAAGGAAAAAAAGTCTTCTACCCCGCTGATTCGTCTCTCCGTGTGGCCGGCACCTTGCAAGGCGCCGGCCACCGACGCATGCGTCGGTGTTACGGGGAGGTAGTGAGTTCGGGGGAGTGCAATATACATATAGACGCGTGCGATCGCTACTTATCATAAAGTGATATAGGCCGCTCCCCCAGCCGGTACCGCCGCAACTGCTATGTCCCAGTATTATCATTATTAATCTGTAATATTTTCGAAAATATTCATATAAATTACATGTTGTAAAGGGCCATATTGATCTATATTGAATGCACAATAATGTATATACGGTACTTAACTGGAAGAGGATTATTGCTGTATTGCTTAAAATCGCTTCGTAAAAAAGTGAAGGATAATAAATGATTTCTATGGGTTATTACTAAGAGATAGACATATGCCATCTCGGACTTTTTTGTAGACCTTTTCAAGGTGTACATTGAATTATCTCGTAGAGTTCAGCCCGCGTTTGCAACGTGTTTATTTACATCAAATTAGAAACCTCCAAAATTAACAGTGTTTCTCTGCTATATTATGCATGTTATATACATATAAACCTACCTTCGTTGCGTAGTTTTAAGGATCTAAGAATACATAGGTACAGATAGCGGGAAGCGTCTCGCTGAACATGCTAAACAGTTTGTTGGTGAGAGGCATGAAAGTTAGGGGTGTTTTGCGTGTTCCGCGATTTTCTGAATTTGAATCAAATTCTGTGTAAAAAAGGAATGAAGTGCTCAAAAACACTTGAAACAGTGAATTGGCCTACCTTGATTGTGTATTACCTTGATGTTATACACCGCTTGCGAGAAGCAGTACAAAGAAAACGTCCAGTATTCTGGAAAAACCATTCATGGCTTTTGCATCACGATAATGCACCTGCTGCTCATTCGTCATTGCTTGTTCGTACTTTTTTGGCCAAAAACAACACCATAATTATGCCTCAGCCACTGTATTCACCAGATTTTTTCCCTGTGACTTTTTTCTGTTCCCAAGGTTGAAGAGACCCATGGAAGGACGGCGTTTTGCGACGATTGGGAAGATGAAAACCGAATCGTCGAGAGAGCTCAAGGACATTCCCAAAAGTGCATGTCAGGACTTCTTCGAGTATTGGAAAAAAACTGGCACAAATGTATTACATC